TGATCAATAGGAAAGATCTTATCGAATGCAAATCCTGGCTAGTTAAATAATCCTTGTGTGAGCTGTCAGGCAGTGCTCCAGTATGACGTTAAAAAGACATGCTCTCTTCCTTTATCTTATTTACAAGTTTTGAATACTTTTACTTAACATATTGATATTATGAAGGTGAGCTTAATGTCCCTAGAGGAGTCAAATTCCTAGAGACAGGACGTAGATGGGGTTGCCAGTGGCTGGAGGGAGGAGGAACAGGGAAATGGGTGCAGAGTTTCAGTTTTGCAAGATGAAAAGTTGTGTGAATGGTTGTGGTGGTTGCACAGCAGTGTGACCGTACCTAATGCCATTGAACTGTCCACTTAAAAATTAAGATGGTAGGCTGGGCTCAGTGGCTGAGCCTGTAATCCCAGCACTTTGGGAGGCCGAGGTGAGTGGATTGCCTGAGCCTGCAAGTTCGAGACCAACCCAGGTAACTTGGCGAGACCTTGTCTCTACAATAAATCACAAAAATTAGCCAGGCATTGTAGCACACACCTGTAGTTCTGGCTACTCGGAAGGCTGAGGCAGAAGAATTGCCAGAGCCCAGCAGGTCGACACTGGGGTGGCCATGAGTGTGCTGCTGCACTTCAGCCTAGGTGACAGAGTGAGACTCCAACTCAAAAAAAAAAAAAATTAAATGGTAAATTTCATGTTATGTATATTTTACAATTAAAAATAAAATTTAAAGATGGACTAACACATGAGTATATGAAGAAAAAAATTAATGATTCCTTATCTTCCTGAGAGTACCAATGTAATAACCCTCCATGTTAACTCACTTTTCCTTGTTCATAAAAACAAATTAGATTTTTTCCAAAATTAGGATTATTAAAGTTTTTTAACCTGTGACATGTATTTTTTTTCCTTAACAATATATCACAGATAGCGCTGTGGGTCGTAGGTATTGATTTAATTAATTCCTCTTAATATCAACTTTATAGACTGGACATATCTTAATTTATTCAACTATTTCTTTTCTTTGCTGATCAACTAATGAAAGCTTAGGGTGTTTCAAGGTGTTTTTTTTTTCTCTCCCAATACAAACACTGTTATAACAAAAATGTTTTAATCCAGGAGAGTGATGCTGAAGGCCAGGATCTGAGTAGTGACAGGCAGAAGGCAGGAGGGAATGGAGCAAAGAAACATTTGCTGGGAAAATGAATTGAGTTTAGTGTCCAGGTGAAAATGGACACTATTTGATGTAAGTGGCTGCTGCCACTTTGTTGAGGGAAGGGAATAGAAGAACAGCAGAAGGTTTTAGGGGAGATGGCAGAGAAGCTGAGAGGATAAGCATGTTTTTTGGTTTTTTTTTTTGAGTTGGAGTCTCACTCTGTCGCCCAGACTGGAGTGCAGTGGCCGCTCCCGGCCATCGCAGCCTTGACCTGCTGGGCTCCGGCGATCCTTCCTCCTCCGCCTTCCGAGGAGCTGGAACTACAGGCGCGCGCTACCACACCCGGCTAATTTTTGATTTATTGTAGAGATGAGGTCTCGCCAAGTTGCCCAGGCGGGTCTCGAACTCGCGGGATCAGGCAATCCACTCACCTCAGCCTCCCAAAGGCGTGAGATTACAGGCTGAGCCACTGAGCCCGGCTAAGCATGTGTTTTAAAAATGTTGGGTTTGAGGTAGGCATGCTGTCCAGCAGATAGTTATAGTTTAGTGTGTAAAACTTGGGGAGGACATCACAGATGGAGATCGTGGATTTGAGAGTCCCTTGCACAGAGTCATAACTGAAGTTATGAGAATGGATGAAATCTGTTCCCAAGGAGACTTTGTACTATAGAGGAAGGGGATGAATTCCCTGGAAGTGACCTGTATTTAGGCGTCTGGCCTAGCAGACAGAAGGAGTGGACAGAAGACAAGGAACGGGGATAGAGCCTGGGGAAGGGTCAAGGGGGAAGAGTCTGAAACTAAGTCACAACAAATCTATTCTTAGGAAATGTAGTGAAGTCAATTCTCTTTTAGGAATTTGTAGCACAGACTTTGCTGCTCACTGCTTGTTGTGTGTGTCTTTAAGGACCCCTTCCTCTGTGAGTCTCTCTTCAGATGCCAGTTTTCTTGTATAAACCACCAGAAAATCATAGATGGTTTGGTAAGCCACCTTGAGCACAACTTTGAATTGAAGGAAAAAGCCAAATCAAGTCGCAGAAGAACACAGTTTAATTGTAGTTTGACATCTCTCAATAGTGTTAAGTCACTTTTTAAAAGGCTATGTTATGTTCGCAGAAACTAGGATTTTACTAATAAAGGAGTGTGTATGTCAATTTCATAGAAACATGTGAACTGGAAAAGGGTGAACAGAGTTACCCTGAGAAAACAGTAAATACAAAGAATTTCTAAAGCATTTAGAATTAGCTTTGAAACTGTCTCAACAACCTGTACTAGCATATTGCTACCAGATTACCCTATTACCACCAGATCTTTTCATAAAGGTTCTGTGAATTGTTAAACCCAGCCTAGGTGACTGGAGGAGAGATGAAGTGAATTACTTGTAGTCCAAATGCATTTTGTGTCACTTCTTATGGCTTTGAGAAATACCTAAGTGTGGAAGAGCAACTGAGTCATCAGAACTGTCGATGTCACTGGGAGTGGACTCAGTGGGAACCCGCCGTGTTTGAGGCACGAGTCCATTTAATTAAAAAGTTGTGTTCCTTGTTTTTTATTCGATACCATTAGGTTCCTGAAGAAGAACAAAAAGAAATAAAGACATTCAATAAAGTAGCATGTCTTCTTGTAGAAAAATAGAATATATACATAGAAAAATATTGAAGAAAAGAAATGCAAGATATTCTGGGATTGTTTACTGCTGCTGAAGGAATTCACAGTCAGAATGAGGCTAGTCCGCACTCAGGTCCCCCGCCCCCAGGGAAGGAAAAAGCAGGTGGGAGAACAGTGGGTGCCGAGGAGAGCCTGGCAGGTGAGAGGAGGCGGCAGGTGGTGAACAAGCTGCTTCCAGATAATATGATCACAGGAGTATTTATAGGGTGGTCAGTTTTAGGCATGATAGACTTGGGCCATAATCTTGGGTTACTCAATTATAAATTGCAAAGAAGAAGGTCATGGCTGTGGAGTGTTGATCTAGAGACTAATGTATCTGTCACCTTTGTAATAAAGTTGGTATAATAATGGACAAACATTGACAGACTATGCCCCTGTTCCTGGACATTTGAACCAACAAAGAGGCACTTGCTGCTGCTTCTGCCACTGTCACCGCTGCCACTGAATACAAATAATTTTGCTTGAATCGGAGCCTCCTTTGTAGTTTCCGAGTTGCATTTTTATAGAATTTCATTTAACCCTCTAAACAATTCTGTGAAGTGAACCAGGAGTTAATATCTCTTAATGAATGACCCTGAGTCTCAGAGTTTAAGGGGTGAATGCCCCAGGAATGTCAGAAGGCTAAGATTTGAACTCAGGTTTTCCTATTCGAAATCCTGTGTTCTTTCTATTTACAAACATTCATACAAATGACAGAAGGGAGTGAAGCAGTATGGGCAGAGGACATGGGAGGGAGGAAAGACTTGAAAAGGGTCTTTTAAAAAATATAATAACAAAACTGAAAGTTCAGAAGGCCTGGCCCCATGTTGAGAACTGGACTCTGGCTTGTCCCATAGAGGATTCGTGTGGGACTCAGGTCTAAAAAATAAGCTTGGATCTGAAGGAAAGTCTGCATTCAAGTAAGATAAGCCAGGTACCTCGGGTACAAAACGTCAAGGGCACTTATTCTCAGGGTCATGTGAGTGCAGGGTTAGCCGTGGAGAGTGAGTCCCTCCTTGTGTGTTATGCCCAGGTGTGATCTGTGTCACTTTAAATATCTTCAGTGGCTTGCAATTCCTAAAGAACTCTGACTGAAGGTGGAGGAGTAATTACTGCAAGCAGACTCTTAGTGTTGCACGGGCCTAGTCCATTTGGAAGTATTAATGAGTCATAGGAGCTAAGCAGATGAACTCTAGTAGCCTCCTAGGAGATCCTTAGGAAAGTAATTTGCCCATTGAACTCTCCTTGCCAGCCCAACTGGAGTGCCTGATTATCAAGAAAAATCTTGAATTTTTTGCCTAAGACCCTTAATTGTATTGGAGTCACCGGATCTTGGGAATGGAGAGGTTTAGGTCAGAGATTTCCAACCTGACTGTTTCCTCTCGGTCATTTGACAGTGCAGAATCTTTAGTGCCAGGGCCTGCTTTAGGCTTTATTTGCGGGCAAGTGTTGTGACCCGTTCTGGTCTCTGAACACATAGGCCAGGCCTAAGCCCCTGGGTCTGCTTCTTTGCACCATCTCCATGAGCTGCAGTTGCGCAGTTTGAAAGAGACACCAAAATCCAGACACAACAAAGCCTCCTCTTTTGCATGTACTGAGGTTGGGAATGACAGGTCTTTCCTCTTTTGCCTGTTCATTTTTATCTTTCCCTATAATACATAAATAATTGGCTTAGTCTGTTTATTGCACAAAGAGAAAATTAAACATCTGAAATTTTCAGAGCTATGAGAAATAATTTCCAGAGTGTGAAAAAATAGCTACTGGAAATTTCAGCAGCTGCCTTTGGTATAGTGGGAATTTATTACTCAATTCAGAAACAATCTTGGCCCAAACCAGGCAGTTGTGTAGGCAAGCAGTGGGCACCTTTCCTAAACAGCACACTGCCAGAAACACCTTTGTTCATATCTGAGACAGCCTGAACCAAGAGTATCTTTCTGTCCAAGACTGTTTGATTACCTCTGAATCTTAGGCATACCACAAAAACCATTGAGACTTAGCCAGTGGATTTTACTTGTATGAGATATTGCATAGCTCCCAAGGGCAGGGGAGGCAACAGAAAAGTCAGAGCCCAACAATAAATAGCTCTTTGTACCAGTCCCCTTCCCAGCCCCAAACCATTGAGATTATAGAGAAAGCAACCAGCATTCATAGAAGGCTTTGCAGCCCAGCAACTCGGCAGACGCTGATCAGATGTGAACTCATCTTTCTGCAGTGTGTGGCTGCGACCTGGCACAAGGGGGCTTCTTCATAAAGAACGGAGAGTATCTCTGCACCCTGGACTACCAGCGGATGTACGGGACACGCTGCCATGGCTGTGGGGAGTTTGTGGAAGGCGAGGTGGTGACTGCTCTGGGCCAGACCTACCATCCCAACTGCTTTGCTTGTACTATCTGCAAGTAAGTGACTTTCTTAAGTCCACAGCTTCTTCCTCCAACAGAGAAATGCTGGTCTTGGTTGTTCAAGCTTTCTTGAGTAGTACTTAGTCTTAAAATATTTTTTCTGATGTATCCTTAGATTTCCTACGTATTATCAGTCTCAGTCAAAAAAGTAACCTCGTTGGGATACTTTAGACACGATGTTCTCTCCAAATTGATATGGTTTTAAGTGACTTGAAACCAAATCTGAAAGCAGCTCTGTGTCTTAAAATATTTTGAGCAATTAAAACATGGAGGGGAAATGATACAATTGCTTACAAGGATAAAGTTTATTTGGAAGTATAAGTTCTTATGTGTGTGTTTAAAATGTTCTCTTCACTCTATAGCAGGAATTGGCAAACCATGACCTGTGGGCCACATTAAACCTAATTCTTGTTTTTTCAAATAAAGTTTTATTGGAATATAGCTCTGCCCATTTGTTTGTGTATTGCCTATGGCTGCCTTAATGTAACAGTGGCAGAGTTGAGTAGTTGTGACAGAGATCATATGGTCCACAAAGTCTAAAAAAAATTTACAAGCTGATCTTTCAGGGGAAAAGTTTGCCAAGTCCCGCTTTCCAGGTATCTATCATCTACTCAGGTTAAATCTTAACTACACAAATAGCTTGATTAAAATGATCAGTCAGGAAGAAGGCAAAAACTGTGAAGTGTAAGTGGGAAAATGTTGATGTATTTTGAGGGCTACACATTATAAAACTTAAGATGGGCTTGATTCCCATAACTAGGAGACACACCAACAAGAGTCAACTACTTATTGATCCATTCTACTTTGGCAATCTCATACCCTTTCAAACGGTACACCATTTGCTATGACTTTCTAAAAACTACAGTTCAGAGGAGGTGGGTTGGTTGCTTTTTAGCATTTCATGTTTCTAAGCAGATGTAAACTCTAGAAGGGTAGATTTAATATTGTATAATTAGTTAACAAGATAATACTGATAGATAAATCATAAGACATGAAATAGTCATAATAAATTCACTGAGATAACTTTTTATAGTTATGCATCAGCTCATTTCACAATTTCATTTTTAAAAAATCATAATTAAGAAATTCTGAATGAACTTTTCCATATTTAATCAAAGCCAAGTTTTCTCCTGACTTCTCCCATTTCAGGCTGCAGCATTCAGCCTGGCTAAGAGTCCTGGAATAGCATTGAGCCCCACTCCTTATTCTGCTTTTCGGGATGAACTGAGACCTGTGTGAATGAGCTTTTTCAAGACAACTGCTTTAGCTTTAAAATAAGAGACTGTGAACTAGATTCTCCAAACCTAACTGATCACTAGAATCTCCTGGATGGGGTGGGGATGGTGTTGGGAAGGGAGTTTCTTTTTAAAATACCCATTTCTAGCCTATTTAGTAGTTCCTGGAGGGTTCCCAAGTATGATGTTACTCAGCCGGGTTGGAAGGCACTGGCCCCAGTAAACTCTAAGATCTCCTTTGATCCTGACCCTGAGAAGTCATTGTTTTAAAGTTGGTATAGAGCAGGCTTGGTGGCTCAAGCCTGTAATCCCAGCACTTTGAGAGGCCTGGGCGAGAGGATTGTCTGAGTCTGCAGGTTCGAGATCAGCCTGGGCAACATGGTGAGACCTCGTCTCTGCAAGACATCAAAAAAATTAGCTGGGCATGGTGGCACGTGCTTGTAGGTCTGGCTACTTGGAAGGCTGAGGCAGAAGGATCACCGGGACCCAGTATGTCAACACTGGGGTGGCTGTGAGTGTGTCACTGCACTCCAGCCTGGGCGACAGAGTGAGACTCCAACTCAAAAAATAAAATAAAATAAAGTTGGTATAATGAGGGGCAAACATCGACAGATTGTGCTCCTGTTCCTGGATGTTTGAGCCAGCAAAGAGGCACTTGATGCTGCTGCCGACACCACTGCTACTGAATAACAATAATTCTGCCTAAATTGGAGTCTCCTTTGTATTTATATAGAATTTCATTTAATCCTCTTAACAATTCTTTGGCATGAGCCAGCAGTTAATAACTCTATGAGTGACTCTGAGCCTCAGAGTTTAAAGGGTAAGTACCCCAGGTTAATGTCAGAAGGCTAAGATCTGGACTCAGGTTTTCTAACTCGAAATCCTGTGTTCTTTCTATTTACAAACATTCATACAAATAGCAGAGGGGAGTGAAGCAGTATGGGCAGAGGACATGGGGAAGGAGGAAAATCTTGAAAAGGGTCTTTTAAAAAATATGATAACAACTGAAAGTTCAGAAAGCCTGGCCCCATGTTGAGAACTGGACTCTGGCTTGTCCCATAGAGGATTCGTGTGGGACTCAGGTCTAAAAAATAAGCTTGAATCTGAAAGAAGATCTGCATTTGGGCAAGGTAAGTCAGGTGCCTCGGGTGCAAAATGTCAAGGGGCACTTATTCTCAGTGTCATGTGAGTGTAGGGTCAGGTGTAGAGAGTGAGCCCCTCCTTACATGTTGTGCCCAGATCCAGTCCTGGCCTGGACAGAGGCAGCAAAACTTGTGCTTGTTGTGTTGATGAATCCTTAAAGCCCTGACATTTTCCTTACAGTACAAATTTAAAGGTTTTCCAGGTTTAGCTAATGAGTGTGAAGCAATAGCCCCAGCATGTGATTTTGATTATTAAAGACAGAGCAAGTTCTGAGTCAGTGGATGCCATCCGCACCTGTCTGTGGCCTGTGGTCTCTTTAGCTGGCCAGTCCAGACAAGTGAGTTAACCTCTCTGTGCCTTCTCTGTACAGTGGAAAGTGACACAACACCATGAGTGGAGATAGCATCACCTCTCCTCAGGACTTCTTAAAATTTGGAGGTGTAAGAATTTAAAGCTCTCCTTGATGACTGGCATCAAGCACATTTATGGAATTGTTTTAAGTCCAGTTTTAGCTGTGTGTGTTTATTACAGTTGGTTACCAATGGTTAGGCAAGCAAGGGGCGACTTCAAAGGGGAGAGAGCAGCTGTGAAAGTGAATTTTAAAGTCAAGAAGCTTGAACCTATTCTTAAACAATTGCTTTTGACTCTGATATGTGGTGATGATCAGCTTACGAGTTGTGCATTTCCTAACTGACTGCATCACACATTTGAAAATTCATGTCAATGAAGATTATTGGCACATTGGCCAATTGCAAGTAAGTGGGCATTGAAATGGCTTGTCATATGTCTATTATTTAATGATCCTTTTTATAAAGGCTGTCTGCCTAGTTAGCTGGGAGGAGAAGAAACTGATAACATGTATGCAAAAGGCAATATTTTTGCAAAATATGCCGTTATTGATGAATGTCTAACGTGAAGGGAAGTTGTCTTCCTGAAAAGAAACGAATACTAATTCTTCAACAGATATCCAGTCCTATTTCTCCCTATTTACAAAGGACTGGTTCTCCAGCACTGTGAAATATTCAGTTTGCCCATTTAGATTAGATGTCCAGGACAAAGTCTATTTCAGCCTAATTGTCATAGAGCTCTAGACACAGTCCCAAGGAGCTGAAAGACTTACTGCTTGACCTGTAACCAGTTCTCCTGGGGAGGGCCTTAAGCTTCAGTTGGAATTCATGGCATTTAAAATGTTTCTTCATGAAGGATTTTCCATTTGGAAATTTACTGTTCTGCATACCCTGCCAGGTGACTTGTTGGAACATCCCTCTGCTAATGAGTGGAGGTAAATCATTTCATTTTACTATCTGGTCACCCTTCAAACCAGCACATTCTCCTTTCTTCTCAAAACGAGACATATTTATTTGTTTGGACTGTCTCCAACTGGCTGGCTTGGTTATGACTGCATTTCAGACATTTTGACTGCAGCTCCTCCAAGAAATAAATGTGCACCAGAGGGCAACAAGCAGAAGGAGTAAGGAAAAGGAATGGAATTGCTGGAATAACCTTGAGGGCAATGTCTTTCTGTCTCTAGACGCCCGTTTCCACCCGGAGACCGAGTCACGTTCAATGGAAGAGACTGCCTTTGTCAGCTCTGTGCACAGCCAATGTCATCCAGTCCTAAAGAAGCCACCTGCTCCAGCAGTAAGTACCCTGGTGACCCACTGACATGAATATCTTTGCAGTTTAAAGGTATCTCAGGCAGGTGCCTTCCTTTTTGAGAAACCCTGTTAGCTCGAAGCATGGATGGTCCTATCTACTTGAGTAGACATTTATCCAAAGATGACATAAAATGTCCAATAGATACATGAAAAGGTGTTCAATGTTACTTATCATCAGGGAAATGCAAATCAAAACTGAGATACCACTTCACACCTGTTAGGATAGATGTTTTCAAAGATAGGAGGTAACAAGTGTAGCTGTGGAGAAAAGGGTACCCTTGAATACTCCTGGTGGGAAAGTAGATGAATGTAGTCATTCTGGAAAACAGTATGGAGATTTCTAAAGAAATTAAAAATAGTACTTACTATGACCCAGCAATTCATTTGCATGTACAGAAATATCTAATATGTGAAAAAAATTAAAGTAGAAAGAAAAAGCAGAGTAAAGGGGCCGCATTTATATGGGGACAGAGATGACATCTCTCAAAAGATGCCAGCTAAGGAGAGAGTTGAACAAACTGTACTTACATCAGGGAATTTGTCATTATTTGCAAGGTCTTGTCTGCCCTGTCAGAATCCAAAGAGAACCAACTTCCCCCAAAATAAAAATAGTGGACAATTGCACCATTTCTTCTAGTAAATAAGTTTGGATCGGTCAGTCAACAAATTTTAAGTTGATGTATTCTGAACTCAGGGCACCAAACAAGGAAACTGTACTTCCATCTCTTTCCTGGGGCTTCAGGAAGTGGACTAGAAGTTTGTCTTAGTTTCTGTGTATGTTTTCAGTCCTTGGGAGACCTGGAATAAACCCTATTAAGCCCTTAAGTGAGTCTTAATACATAAAAATGAAATAAACCACACTTCTGCTCCAGAGGAATTTGATGCAATTTATAATAGTGATTCTAAATCTTCCTATTAAAATAGGAACCTTGTACCTGTTAAAATCAGAATGTTCTGACTAAAGTATTTGCATAGAAATTGGATTTTGACCATTGAGAGGAAAGAAGAAAATACATATATTAGTATATCTTATTCAGCACACGACCCGATCCTTGGCTTGTGAATTTATATGACCTACCAATAAATAATGGTGGCCTACATAGGACAGCCACTAGACTACAAAATAAAGCATAATCCTAGACCCCAGGTGGGGTTTCAAATCCTTCACTGTTTTTTTCTACTCTACCTCCAAGCACAAGAGATACAATAGTCTCAGCTTGCCGGGAAGATGACCTGTGGTGGGAATAGTCACCCAATTGTTGGGAAGGACTTGCTTCAAAAGTACATGACCCAAAACTTTGGAGAAATTCTTTAGTCTAGTTAAGAAAAAGAGGCTTTTATGAATCATAGGATATGGTTACAGCTGTAGCAGAGGATCATGTTCATAAGGGCTATGATGGGAATGGCTATATCCTCAAATTTTGTGAATTTTCTGTAGGCAAACTATCTTCTTTGATAGGTGAAGAAATTGAGGCCCATGGGCATACTTAACGGTCACACAAACTATGCAGTGAAAAGGTAGGGTCACATGCAGGCCTTTTTACTCCTGTTTTTTTCTCTTCTTTATTTCATCTAATACTCCTCATTGTTTGATTTAAGAAATAGAAGTGGGATATTTTTTAAAACTTTCAGTCCTATCTGGTTGGGCAATTTGGGAACATGTTTTCCAGTCATAGTGCTGCAAAATGGTTATTCTAATTTTTATTAAATATTTTCTTTGTATTTTCTATTTTATGTGGCATACATGTTATACAAATAAGATGAAAATTTAAACATAAAAATATAATCAAACTCAAATCTATTGCATTTTTAATACTGGATTTACATATATTACTTATGTACAATTTGTTGGGCCAAGTCTTATTTTCTCCTTTGCTTCCAGTGGATGAAATCCCATTTCTGTGCAACTGTTTTGGTCAGAACAACTTTATTTTTAACAGGTGCTTGTCTATTTAGATAAGTACTCAAATGGCATTTATGGATTGTGTGGGTGTCTGTAAAAAAGAGAGCTCTTATATATGGATACACACTTGCAAAATATCCACACTAGGCAAGCACACAAACACTAGAGCAGTGGGAATTTTCAGCAAGTTTCTGAAATTCATTGGAGCATGATTAGAAATACTTGTTTGTTATTTGTAACTCTTCAAAAATTGCCCCCTACTTTAAAACTAGCCTAGTGTGACATTTATTCCTATTTGTTAAATTAAAAAAAAAAAAAAAAAAAAAGACTTTTTAGACTTGGCAAGCTTTCTAAATAGAATCATAAAGTGACTTTTTTTTTTTTGAAGTGTGAATCTCTTCCTTGATAATGATCACAGAGCTGGTAATTATGTCAGAGAGCTATGGTCCTCTTTTTTCTTTGAAATATTCTATTCAGAAATGAGTTTTTTCTCCTGAACCACAGTTTTATTCCATGACTGGTTTCCCATAATCACCAAATAGGAGGTGAAGACAGCGGGAGATGGAGAAAAGCACAAACTAAGTCAATGATGCTGTGAATGTTTACACCAAATAGTCTCTATTTAGCTTGCTAAGTAAAGATATACTTTCGCTGCTCAGTGGCTACCATGTCTGTATTGTTCTGATTTTGAAAGAACTCCCCTTGGAGCACTCTACTCAGTGCTTTCTTCCACCTTTATAATTCCTCTAACTTTTCTATCTATTTTATTTTCTACATCAAGCACTAACATAGTGTACCTACTGTGTATCAGGCACCGTGTAACTGGTTTACATTAACTCACTTAATCCTCATAACAACCCTATAGGTTGGTTCTGATACTATCCCCTTTTCACAGAAGAAGAAACAAAGGGCCACAGAAGTTAACATTTTCCCAAGGTCACACAGAGAGTGAGTAGCAGAGCAAGAATGGAAACCCAGGTTATTTGGCTCCTGAGGCCATGCTCCCGTCTCTGATATTTGTTTTATGATATAGGTATCACTCTGATTTTCAAAGACAGGAATGCTAAGCCTTGGAATGGTGACCTACTTGTCTGCAGATTATCTGAGGATCCTGATTCCAAGGGCTGTGCATTTTCTATAGACCACAGTTTCCTCCCTGTTATATCAAGGCTTGGTAAATAGAAACCATCAGGAAGCTATTCATGAAAACAAACTACTGCTATAAAAGATTATTGCCCCAGGCCAGGTACGGTGGCTCAAGCCTGTAATCCCAGCACTTTGGGAGGCTGAGGTGAGAGGATTGCCTGATTTCACGGGTTCGAGACCAGCCTGGACAACTTGGCGAGACCTCATCTCTACAATAAATCAAAAAATTAGTCGGGCACTGTAGCATGCACTTGTAGTTCCAGCTACTTGGAAGGCTGAGGTGGAAGGATTGCCTGAGCCCAGCAGATCAACGCTGGGATGGCTGTGAGTGTGCCACTGCACTCTAGTCTGGGCAACAGAGTAAGACTCCAACGCCTAAAAAAAAAAAAAAAAAGATTATTGCCCCCAAATTAGTTAAAACTGTTTCTGCAGTCTGTCTAATGCAGTTTCAATTCAATAAGCAATATGCATTACATAAAGGAGATCATGGTAAAAATTACCATGCAGGGCTGTGATGAACATTAATTAAACTGTTTTACTAGCTGATTCATATTTTTAAAAAATATTATGTCCAGAAGACATTACACTCCACCAGGAAATTAAGTACAGTCCCCTAAAACTTCATTCCACTCCATTCTTCGTGTATTTACCCATAACTGAGGGACTAGAGTCCCACAAGTTACGGAGCAGCATGAGGGGAGTCTGTGTGTGGCAACCGAAGGCACGCTTGTCTTTTCCCACAGGCTCATGTATATTGCAGGTGCCTGAGCAGGAGTGGGCTGCAGTCTGCAGTCACCCTTTCCATGTCAGAGGGCAGGTGGGCTTGGGGAATTTGACAGGATGACACCCTTACAAACACGTCCTAGCTCATCTTTCTCTTCTCTGGGTACATCATCATCATTATTCTAGCCACAGCTGGAACTTCTGCAGGTGTCAGGGCAAACCCTCTAGTTGGACCCAACTGAAACCGTTTCAGATAAAGAGTCACGTGTGTTTTCAAAGGGGAAGAAGACATTTCTGGTTATTTTATTTTTCTGTTTGGCACAACAGCTTTTAATAGTTGCGAGATAGTTTTCTTTTATCTTTCTCTTCTTTCTCAAAAAAATCATTGGCAAGTTGAGTGGGAGTTATCTGCTGAGGCATCTAACATGAGGTGGCGTGGTGAAAATCTTTCCTGTCTTCTAACTGCCTGGACTCAGGTCCTAGCTCTTCCACTTATTAGCAGTCTCTTAACCTGCACATCCTCATGTCCTCATCTGTGAAATGGATGGTAACAGATACCTATGTTGTAGGATTAAATGAGTAAATATGTTGAAGTGCTGTATACTTAAAAAACAAGAGTTTGTTGTCCAAGCATTGATTTGTGAATGTTCGTGGAGGACAGTACCCATTTTTTGTGACTCTGCTTTCTTCACTCTGCTAGTCACGACAGCTGCCTTTATCTGCTCATTTGATAGTTTCCACCAATATAAATACCAGTGAAGGCGGGAGCACCTCCACACATATAGCTCATGAGTTGTTGGAGTTTGACTCATAGTGGTATGTTTATGACAGGGTCTCCAAAAACAGAGCTGCTCCTCCTTCTTTAGACACATTCTTCTGTAGGATAAAAAGAAAGAGGAGGCTTGGCAGGGAACTGCTGAAGAGCAGGGGTTCTAGGCAGGCTGTTGGCTGGTTCTAATCCCTGCTCTACCATTTCTAGGCTGTGTAGCCTTGAGAACTCCATCTCTCTATACCTCTGTTTCTTTGCCTGTGAAATGGGGAATAATATAATTCCTATCTCATTGGGTTGCTGTGGAAATTATGACATATAAAGTGCTTAAAAGATTCATGACATATGGTAAGCACATGTATGTTAGCTGTTATTCTTTAAGGAAGTTGTGAGCCTGGCACTTGAGCCTAGAGATAAGCAGATCCAGAAAGGAAGGAAAGAA